CTGCAAGAAACATAATCATCATCAAACAATAGCTCTCCATTGTTCAGGCATGTGAGTAACCTGGGAAGAGTTGCCAATGGCCAGATGGATTTCTCGAGCAAGAGGAACGCGTTTTCGGACAATCTGTGTCAGAATGCAGTTTCGATGGCCGTTCGCAGATATAGAAATGGCTGACCAATAAGCAAGTGTGGGTGAAGTGACGGTGCTCAGCCACTATCATGGCGGCGAAACTGAGGCTCCTGGGCGTGCTCGAGCGCTGCACGACAGCGCTAAGTCGGGCATCGACCTGCACGGCGAGCCCGCAATGCCGCCAGCAACGACAGACATTCCATACCCTATCCGGTGATCGGTACCTTGGAGCGTGTAGACTGGCACGCGGCCTAGATGGCAAATCTACTGCTGCGTGTTCTACCCGAATGCAGAGCGACAGCCTCCCCAGATCCCAGTACGGGGACACCGACCCTGGTTGTGGGAACGGCCCAGACACAGGGACCATTCCGCGTGGTGTAGCGGCGCCCGGGGCAAAGGCTCGCTTCCGCGGCAACGACCTGGCACGCCTGCTGGTACACGACAGTCGACGGCCAGACGTGGATTTTCCCGCGGACAGCCAGCATGTCAAGCATTGCGAGCGTGTGCTGGACAAGGTGTGCGAGTACTTCGAGTGGGACGTCGTCCAGACGATAGTCGACGGGCGCGACCCGCTGCTGCGCACACTGCGGGAGGGGAATTCCCGCGGCCTGACTCGGCTGGCACTGCTGGCCGCGGAGGGTCTGGGCGCGAGGGCGGAGAGCGCTACCGCAGCCGACGTGCGCAACGTTCTCGTCCTGGTGCGTCACCTTCGCTGGGTGCCGCGCACGATCACCGTCCTGTTGGACCGGGCGGAGACGATAATCACGCTGCATATCGCTCAAGTTGGTGACGTTCACCTGCTGACCGAGCTGCTACCTGTGTTGGCCAGCCGAATAGAGGATCAACGATTCTGGCGGGACAGTCCTATCGTCAGTCGAGTACTGGACCAGCTTGCTAGCATGTTCAACGAGGGAGCACTTTCCAGAATGACCGATCCGGCCGAACAATGGGCGTGCGTTCTTGGCTTCGCGCAGGGAATGGATCTGCTGCGAATTCGTCACGCCGACTCGCTCTGTGCGTTCTCCAACGATTTGCTGTCTGTGCTGGCAGACAATCCGATCCGGGACGTCGCCGGCGCAGAAATGATCCTGTGCTTGTTCGCGAATCTGCGCGTTCAGTGTCCCACCGCTCTGCTGGATCGCCTCGGAGAGCAGCTCGCGGACGTCTGCAGCGCCGGAGCAAGTCTCCCGTCGCTGGTCATGGTTGCGTGGGCCTACGCTTGCCTGGGCCATGCCGCCCCATCGCGCGTCACGCGCGCCGTCCGCACGCACATCGTCGAGGCGATCTCCAACCAGCAGGGCGGCACGATGTCGGCCTCGCCCATGTTCAGCCGGCCAGTGATCAGGGACGGGGTGGAGCAGAATGTCCACGCTCTGTCCTTAGCGACTCTGTATCATCTGCACCAGGCGCTGCCGCAGCTGCATGTGGATCTGCCTAGCGCCAGGGCGTGCGTTGAATCACTCATGCCGCGGGTGACCGCCGTCAAGACGAGACTCACCAAGGAGCTGCGCGATCAAAACTTCTCCTGTCACGCTTGCATTCACATGCACGGTTCGGTTTTACTTGCCGCTCTGCTGCACTCCACGTCGGGTCGATTGGTGCCGTGGAGCGACGAGTACCCGGAGCCGCATGACGTCACCATGGAAACGGCGCACGTGTTTGGCGACGTGGTGCCAGTGGCGCTCATCACGTACGCGCCGCACAATCTGCTGAAGTTCTTCTCGGAGCCGCGCTCGGTACAAGTGTCCAACGAAGGCACCACTGCTCCCTGGGAAACACCCTGGTCGTCGTCGTCGTCATCGTCGTCATCCGAGGCGTTCTCTAATGATCCGTTCCGTCCGCAAGCCGATAAACAGGCTCTCGGGTGGCTCTACCCGGACATCGCGCCGATCTTTGGCGGACCCTGGGCTGCGCAGCAAAGCTACCTGCAGTCGCGTGGCTGGATTGTCGCCACCATGCAGACGCACGTGATTCACCGCTGTTCTCGTTCCGACTTGTCTCTTCTAGCATTGGGCGCGAAGTATATGCAACAGGCGGTTCTCAGACGTGGTCTTCCCTAGCCGCTCTCTGTCTCTCTGTCTCTTTCTCTCTGTCTCTTTCTCTCTGTGCCTCTCTCCCTGTGTTTGTATGTGTGTGTGTGCGTGTCTTTCCCTTTGTGTGTGTGTGTGTGTGTGTGTGTGCGTGTGTGTGTGTCTCTCTCTCTCTCGCTCTCTCCCTCTTTCTCTCAAACAAACAAAAAACATCAGTGTTCCAAACTCATTGGTGTCCGGTTTATCTAGGGTGTCGTGCGAGATCTCGTGTCGGTACTGAACCAACTTTTTTTGTATTCTCTCACGGCTGGTCCAGTTTGGCAGTGGCGGGTCCATTGCTTCCGCTGTGGTTGCCTTTTTGTGTTTTTGTCGGCTTACTATTGCTTTCGCCATTTGAAAACTAACCTTAGTGCCTGAGTGCACTGAGAACTGAGAAGGTGTTCTGCTATTATACTGTCTTTTTAATCAACGACTTTTAATGCTTCTTAACTGGCGGGTAGTGTGTGTGTGTGTGTGTGTGTGTGTGTGTGTGTGTGTGTGTGTGTGTGTGTGTGTGTGTGTGTGTGTGTGTGTGTGTGTGTGTGTGTGTTTAGGGATTCACTGGCCAGAAAAAAAGCCACTTCATAGCTGTGTGGTGTAGACCAGGCTGAATAGTGGCAGTCAATTCTTCAGCCTTGCAAGCTGTTGAATGGTGCAATCCCGGCACAAGTTGCTATGGCTTCGGCTGTAGCATCGCTATCATTGCCTCCGGCGACGGGTGTCAAAAAATGTTTGTGTGTATGTGTGCACGCGCGCGCGTGTGTGTGTGTGTGGGGGGGGGCACATTTGGCTGAGCGGGCCAAGCCGATTGCTGAGCAGCGAGGGGCTTGCCACTGCGGGGATCGTGGGCATTGGTTGCTGCGCACTGTGCTGTGTGTGCCCACTGATATCGAACTGCGCAAGACCGCGGTCGTCACCAGTGCTCGAAGACTGGTCCCCGCCCGACTGCCTAGCCGCGTGATTCGTTCACCCACCACCTCCGATGTCACCATCAGGCTGCGTGCTCCGTCTTCCTCTCTGCATGATGATCCTCTGGAGCCCACGTGACCCTTGTGGCAGTGGCTCTACAGAACATGACAGGTGTGTGTAATCAAAAGCAGGAATGGACAAAGTGCCATGATCGTGTTGTGTTGTGGGTTGGACGTTCGTACTGACCGGGATCAAAGCTATTAGACACCCTTAGCAAGCGACGGCAATGCTTTTTTTTTTACGGTTCTCGTACCTTGATCACCCAAATAACGTTGAAGCTGCAGAGTAAAACGTTACGGGGGCCGATTTATCGTTGTTGCAAACGGTACGTTTTTAGGCCAAATATTGCGCAGAGTGTGCCCATTTCGCCTTGTATCGTGTATATGGCGCCATAGATGGTTATACCGCACGACCTATAAGCTACATGCACACTCATGGCAACAGTGTACTAAAATTACCGTAAAAGTCCGTAAATAAGTACCTGCCCGAAAGAAATACCCCTTTCATTCTTTTGGCTCTGTCTGTTGAAGTCAAGTCAAGCCCGATAAACATACTGCCCGGAATAAGTACCGGTACGGTGCGCACATGCAGCACGTAGCATGTACATCGACATGAAAATGACTTCTATAAATAAAGTATACAACAACAACAACAACTTCTCCACTACACACAAGTCAGGTCCGAAAGTTAGCTCGTGCCCGAAAGTCAGTACCCGCCCGAAAGTTAGTACGGGTGCGGTCACTAAATTCGAAAGTAAATACGTACTTATTTACGGACTTTAACGGTAGAGTGCATCTTGCTAAAGGCCGAACCCAAATCTCGGTATTTTTCCCCTTAGGCCACCCTTTCTTTTTTCGTTGTTTAACGTCCGCGCCCGCTTACCTTTTTGCCTCCGACCTGAAAAAAAAACAAGAAAGTAGTAGTACCAATAATATGCGAAGTTGTAAATACATGATTGTGTAGTTTCACAGTGTGCCGATCATGACCTTAAACTTATAATCTTGCCTCCCGGGCATGCCTTTGTCTTGTGTTCTTTTTCTTTTTTTGTTGGCTTTTAAATATCGTACGGTGTGTGTCCTAGTAAAAATCCAGATGTAATGAATTCATGACATGCTAACTCCATGCTATGTACCTGTTTTGTTGGATTCATCAGGCATGTGCTCCAATGTACCATCAAAGAGTGTTGTTCTATGCCTGCAAGTGCCGTTAGACCCAGATATATTGTATATATCACATGCTTTACTGGTCAAAATGTTTGATTGGGGTTTCCAGTTTTTGGAATGGGCTTTTGTTTTTTTTCCGCCCTCCCGCGTACCTTTTCGCGAAAAAAAGGACGTTAAACAATGAATTAACAAAGGGTGGCCTTACGGTAACACCGATACAACATAACGTTTTTTGCTCAGGGTGTCTATTGTGTTGTTTCTTGTTCCTGTCCCCACACGATACCGAGAATCCACGGAGGCGCAATTTTCCCCGCTACATGTATTGTCTTTCATCCGTGTTTTCGAGAATTTTTGCATAAAAACCCACGTTATCCATGGGAATGAACAAGGAAGCAGAAGCAGTGCATGATGTTGAAAATGTACTACGAGAGGGTAGGGTTCCCCTAACTTTGTAAGTTTGTATAGATTTCTAAACTCGATCAGCAGCATAGCAAAAATGAGTGGCGTGAGTCTACGTGTAGCTGTTAACAGTTGAGAGAAACTTGCAGCGGAACGTGTGGTCTCTCATCAGGAGGAATGGTGCACGTACTGCCATTTCTCACAATCATACAGTGTTTTCAGAACTTTTCACACACACTCGCGTGACATTTCTCACAATACGTGGCCGGAGTTAGGCTAATAAAGCTGAAGAAAGCGGAGAGCTGCTGTGTGAGTAACTGGCGTTACTTTAGTAATGAAGTATTAAATCACTATGCATGCTCCCACTATGCAATTTTGTTGTCTTTGCCTGTGAGCTGTGATCATTGTAAAAAAAAATTAAGATCAGGTACACGTCGAAACGAGAAAAATGATTCGGGATTGAGCACAGCAGAGTCCACGAAAACTACCTGTGCCAGCAATGCCGTGTAGGCGATCAAGAAAATGAATACACGCGTTTTTTTACGTAAAATGTAGTAACAATGAAACGCACCGCGAACTGCAAAGGCGTTGTTGCGGCTACCGGTATGCAAGAAGACCAGCTTTCACCTAGACCTTCCGGCACGCGGCCGAATCTCACCGTCAGACACCAGTATATCTAGTGACAGGCATCTCGGGGACCTAAAAACAAGTGCTTCACTACTAAGGCACACTATGTAATACCATATTGTAAATATGATTGATGAAATAACTGGAAACGGCGAGCCATATAGTACAGGCTCGCATTCAAAACAGAAAGTTGTTACGGCGGATGCAAAGAGAAAAGAATGTCAGACCCAGTGGACATGGTGCCGAAGTTTAACCACTCTACAAACTCCAATCGCGCACAAGCGGAATTACGGACAGTTGCAATTTCATAACTCTGAAGAGTTTACGGAAATGAATAGATTGTCAGGCCGGACAGTTGGAATTTCTTCTCGTACTTACACTGGTTATGTTTGGAAACGAGCATGTCAAGCCGTCAAGCTAGTGTTGTTGCTGCAGGCAAGGAACAATGCATGCTGCCATTCGTCTAGTGAACGAGCGGCACTGCGGAGCGCAATGTAATGCACTCGTTTCCGAAGCCAGGCATCGGCACCGCCACGGGTCGCTGAGTAGCCGGCCGGGCTCCGGTGGAACTACCACTGCCACGTATCTGTAGTGTCAGTATGCACAGCGGCAGTGGCTCTTATATCCCAGCTAGAGTGATCAATGCCAGCTCATATGATGGGCAGAGCGCAGAACACACGCTGCACACAAAGCACGGGGCATACATGTTGTAATTCAACAACTAAGCCCCTAGTTTCCCCGGTGGTACCTCTTGGGTAGTTTTCATGATTCAAAATACCAAGACTCAACGCAGTACTTGCTGACAGCGACGCTGTCATCCGATGCGCTCTCGTGCAAAGTCAAAGTCGTCGATCTTGATCAGGTCCTTACGTACGGACGCGCCCCGAGAGCCGGGCAGGTCGGAGAGAGACGGAGGCTCGGACGTGAGGATCGGGTCAAAGTACGTTGTGTCGTTGCGAGACACCTGTGTACGCAATGCAGCGGCACAATGCACAACGAACAGATGCACGCACACACACACACACACACACACACACACACAACCATACACACACACACACAACCATACACACACACACAACCATACACACGCACACGCACACACACACACACACACACACACACACACACACACACACACACACACACACACACACAACCATGCACACAGTGTATCATTTTGACGGGGCTCGAGTTGAAATATCAGCACTCGGTTCATCCCTAACAAAAATAAGCTACTGGCGAGAGAATTTGCGAGATTTTTTCATGCCCAATGAAAACAAATACAAAAATGAATGGACTCAGAGCGAGAGCCAAGTATTTTCCCTACAAAAACGAATACAGATATTAAAGCTGTGTGGATCCTGGCAAGCGCCAGGCGTTACTAAAAGTAACGTCTTTTGCACAGCTACGGGGGAAATGTCAACACTGTGTGTAATGTCAGTTTAGCATGCCGGCCACACCTGATGAACAGACAACTTTGCGTATAACGACGCTCGGCGGGGTATCAGAAAAGCGTTCTTCTCCGCGACGTGTCCTTCTACCCAAAGTTCAATTACAGTCTATGGGTACAGTTAGATTTGACTTTACTCTGGGCATGGGAATTCTGTCGTTTATATAATATTCGCGAGCTGTCGCTATATCCGCAGTCGTTTAAATATTAGCGAAGTTGACTATACAGTAAGATATGTGTGTTCGCCGGACTCTGTGCCGAGCGGAATCCTGTACCGACCGGAGATATGGGCCGCATTCAGCTAAAACCTGTCTTTGGGGTTTCGACATGACGGAATCCAGAACTTGCGTCTGTCGAGCACGTTCACGCTGTGCTTCATTCATCAACCGGTGGCGTGAGCATCTTGACGAACTTCGTTCCCACACGCATTTGGAGGTCTAGTCCAAGCACTGAGCTGGCGAGCAAAGTGACATTTTCTGGAATACATTTTTTCACCCTAAGACATGTTTAGCAGGCTGTGGCCCATAGTTTCATGCACCGAAAAGTGCAGCGGATCAAATGTGCATCCCTGGATCAGACAGAATTATAATCACATAAGGACAGTTTCCGCTGCACAAGGGCGTCCGATTCAGCAGGGCAGGTTTGAAGACATGTGGTGCATCTAGGTGGCCATGATGTCGAGACACTAGGTCGGCGGAGCTCCCTAAACCTCATCACCACTGCCACGATTCAAGTTGTACGTGCTTCCCCTAGCTGCATCTCAAAGTGGTCTTCGTAAAAATAAAAATAAATAAAATAAAATGAACGTGCAATGGTACTGGAAAAATAATGTCACAGTTGCTGAGTTTTTAGCATCCGTAGGAACGCCACCACCCTGCAACGATCTAAGGCGCACATGCAGCTCCTAGCACGGTGGGAGGTGAGTAGATCAGCTCACCAAACAACGTGGCCAAGGTCGGAAAATCCCAGATCTGCATTCGCTGTACCCATGCATCCAGGGTACTGGACAGGTCAAGGTGAAATCTGCTGCCCCCCCCCCCCCTAGTGTGGGTGTGCCGACGTTGTCGACCTCGCATCCAGGTCTTACCAGTCTCGGTTTCCACGGCGCCTCGACTTTCTTGCGTTCCAGCTCCAGCCATGTCCAGGTGTTGGGCTCGTGACACATCAGGCGATTGCGACTGCTCTTGCGCCCGCGACCGTCCGCTTCTCCGCCTGAATTGACGGAGAGCAGCACGACGAGAAATACAGGTACGGGTGCATTGGGTCAGAGTAAATCTGTGCTTTTAAACCGTACAAAGTAAGAAACTACAAACTAACTCAGTGGCACGCTCTGCAATACCACCTTCCTTCACTTGGTGGTAAAATCAAGGTGGGGTGCTCTCGTGGTACTTTACTGTGCTCACAGACGGCGCACACACTAAATTTCGACTCACAGCTTAAAAAGTAAGAATGGGGCAGTTGCACTGGGCAAGATATGACCCCAAGTGGTAATCTGACGTCTTGGACCGGTTCCGGGCACGTCACTGTACTCGGGCATGTGTATGTCCGGCTGCACTCACTCCAATACAGGTAAGGGCAGGGCCGTGCAAGTCACTGGTGGTGGTAAACGTGCTCTTCTGGTCGGATTTCACCCAGTGCAGCTATACAGCCCCCGCTGCCCTCCCCATGCATGGAGTCCCCGGTGCCTCGCTACAATTATATCATTGAACCAAAGACTAGGATGATTATATACAGGAACGGTACTACAGTCAACTTTGCGAATAACGACACTCGGCGGGGCATCAGAAAAGTGTCCTTATTCGCGAAGTGTCGTTATACCCGAAGTCTCATTATGTATTACAGTTAGATGGGGCTTTGCTCTGGGCATGGGAATTCTGTCGTTATTCGCGAATTGTCGTTATATCCGCAGTCGTTATTCGCGAAGTTGACTGTAGATGCAAAACATTACGTACACTTTTATGGGGGGGGGGGGAGGGGAGAGAGAGAGAGAGAGAGAGAGAGAGAGAGAGAGAGAGAGAGAGAGAGAGAGAGAGAGAGAGAGAGAGTGCTCAATACAAAGGTGCCCGCCCATTGACGTTGGAACATGGAAAGGCAAGCACCGGTGGCCAAGATGCCTGTCACACACGCATGAAAAGTGCCAACAAGAGAACAAGCCAATTCTGGCCGTTACAACCCATAGCTCGAACACACCAACCTACCTCCATCATCGCGAACTGAAATGTTGATGGCGGCTGAGCCACCACCTGGTGTTGGTCTTCGCACACCGTCAAATACACTACTTTCCTCCAGGATGTCATCCTCTGGAATGGTCGGTTCTCCACCGGTAGTGCCAGGATGGCGAGCTGGCGCAACCTCTTGGCTCGGAAGCTGGGGCAATAGAGAGAGAGAGAGAGAGAGAGAGAGAGCATTTAAGCGGTTGTTGTTGTTGTTGTTGTTGTTATTGTTGTTGTTGTTATTGTTATTGTTGTTCTTGCTGCTGCTGCTGCTGCTGCTGTTGTTGTTGTAGTTGTTGTTGATATTTTATTTACAGAGGCAATATGCTTTGGTTCTGCAAGAGTGCTCAATGCCTGATTCAGGCAGAGCGGCGTACACAAAGGCACACAATGAAAACCTTGGCAAATTTCGATACCTGCCTTATGGTCTCCATTGATGCAGAAAGAAAGCGAGAGTGCTCGACCACCAGTGGAGGGAGCGAGAAGCACAGAGGCAATATGCTTTGGTTCTGCAAGAGTGCTCAATGCCTGATTCAGGCAGATATTTTATTTAGTATCGCAGACCAAACGGGAAATGATGTCCAATTTAATTTTTTTTAACGCTGCTTACCCGATCTGGCAAGCTGCTACTGACAGGCGTTCCAGCCGGGGATGAGGTCGTGGACGGCGAGATCGTCTTGCTCAGATAGAAGAAGTCGTGTGCCTTGAGCACACTGGCCGAGTCGCCGCGAGCAATCATGTGCCCGCCGAGTCGGGAAAGCGGGTTGCGTTGAAGGAGCTGCATTAAACATAAACACATGCCGGGGCGCCGGAAGGTACCGTAAAAGTCCGTAAATAAGTACGTATTTACTTTTGAATTTAGTGACCACACCCGTACTAACTTTCGGGTGGGTACTGACTTTCGGGCAGGAACTAACTTTCGGACCTGACTTGTGTGTAGTGGAGAAGTCATTTTCATGTCGATGTACATGCTGTACATGCTACGTGCACACCGTACCGGTACTTATTTCGGGCAGTATGTTTATCGGGCCTGACTTGACTTCACCAGACAGAGCCAAAAGAATGAAGGGGGTATTTCTTTCGGGCAGGTACTTATTTACGGACTTTTACGGTATTTCAGGATGGTACGGTCAGCAGGGAATAACTTAACCGGTATCGCATCGCAGTTTGCTACGCAATTCTTCTGAGGTGCGAAGCAACTTCAGAAACGTGTCGCAGAAAACTACGATGCATGTTGATTTTCCACTGCAGCCTATGATGCACAGTGTACATGCCGGGTGTGTCTCCTAGGGATGAAATAGATGTGCAAAACTTCGAAAATGTTGAGCTATGCACCTTGGCACCAGGTTAGGTTTGCAGCTAAGGTACCACAGTGCGCTTGCGGTCTGATCAGCTCTGCAGAAGGACAATGTTGTCAAGTGTTAAAGAAAATTGCTACGCAACATTTTCGAAATGCTACTCAAGTTTGATTCTGCGTAGCAAAATTGCTATGCAAGAAATCGAGAGTAAATTGTTCCCTGGTCAGCCATCTTAAGTACCATTTACTCGTGGGGTTGGTGGCTGAGCCGGACATTTTGGAAATTTATAGCCCAGATCAGTGTATTTTATTGATTCACGGGGTACCTGGGGCAAAAAGTAGTGCGGTCAATACCGTAGTGACCGTACCGTGTCCGACACCCCTGACATGTACAGTATGATCGGACACCAAAGAAACACAGAGACATAGTCGACTACATAAGGAAATCGCGGCTAAGAGAAGAGAATGTGCGAGAGAGAGAAACATGCCCATGACGGTCAGTTGCCCTGGCAACTAGCCTCAGGGATCTGGACAACGGCTTAAACATGTTTTTAATGGATTCAATACAGGCAGTGGTCAGTGTCAATGTGTTTGGATAGCTAGCGCTTCTCTGTACCTGCATCAGGATGTCCTTTGCAGCCAATGACAATCGCTCTGGTAGTGCAATCGGCGCCTTGAGAACGTTCTTGTAGAGCGAGTGACGGTTGGTTCCCGTGAATGGCGGCTTCATGGGACGGGTTGCACACGGATACACACACACACACACACACACACACACACACACACACACACACACACACACACACACACACACACACACACACACACACACACATACAAACACACACACACATATGAAGCAGGCACGGACAAACACACACACACACACACACACACACACACACACACATACACACACACACACACACACACACACACACAAGCACAAACATTACACAAAGTGCAGTCGACTCCGGTTAAAAAAACTCGTACAATGCGAATTTTGTGATATAGCGAACCACTGTCCATATCTCTGTTCGAACACACACAAATTTGACCCTTTAGAGGGTACAGTTGTTTTTGTGTATAACGAACCATATCTCCTAGGGCCTCATGTACACCAAGTGCGCTGATATTGTCATGGGCCACATGCCAGTTCTAATGTGTTGCTTGCACATGTATTGGGGAGTGCATTTCTACCAAAAAATAAGTAATTCTCCTGCAGAATGGCTTTCGTTACATCAGGAGTCGACCCTGCATACAAGTGTACTGAGTGCAGAGTGATGGACAAGCGCTTGTAGTGCACTCAATGCAGAGCACGTGTGATCATGATGTCATCACATGACCTCATGAATGATGTCATTGCCAGCTGATGATTTCATCACACTCTACTCACCTTCCCCACGAGCATTTCATAGAGAATGACGCCAGTGGTCCACCAGTCGACAGACTGGTCGTACTGCTCTCCGCGTAAGATCTCCGGAGCGATGTAGCACGGCGTTCCTGTAGAAGACAGGCGTCATCACCATGCAGAATTTCGCAACCGCACAGTGAAGTCATATTTTCAAACTCTCTCATTTTCTCGTGCTCTCTCTCTCTCTCTCATACACACACGCGCACACACGCGCACACTCACGCACACACACACACACACACACACACACACACACACACACACACACACACACACACACACACACACACACACACACACACACACACATGCAAACACGTACGGGCGTGCATGCACTTCCGACATTTTTGAGTAGAAACATGATCAGTTGATCACACTAACCAAAAAAGTAACCGGCCCACCCCAGGAGGAACATACCGCAGAATGTCGTCGTCTTCGAATCACCCATCAGATCTTTGGCAGCGCCGAAGTCAGTCAGTCGCAGATGGCCATCGTGAGCTATCAGACAATTCTCCAACTTTAGGTCTCTGAGCGGGGATATAGTGGAGGAGCAGGCAAAACAGGCAGCGGGACACAGTTTATGAGGAGACAGAATTTGACCAGCATTGAACGCACAGACCACAAGTAACTCCATTGCGGCCCTTTACACATTCCCAAAGTTTACTCTTTCACCCTGATCATCGGCCAGGGCCCGAACATTTGGTGAGCTTGTAAAGTGACGTATGCAGCAGAGGGGACCAGTCTGTGCGTAGGAATTTGACGCGAGGAGGGGTTGAAGCTGCAGGGGTGGATCCAAAGAGGGGTTCCAGGGGTTCCACGCAACCCCCTTAAATTCGTAAATGTACTACTGGCAACCATATGCCTGTCCATGTACATGTATCAGCTATTCAGTTTTGACTATACTGGAACCCTCCTGTGGAGATCGCTGGATCCGTCGCTGAGCTGATCACCCGCTGTCCAGCCAATTTCTCACTACTTCCGGTCGGGCCACAATGTGAACTTCATGTCTTAACTCGGCAAAACGACAAAGCATCTAGAGAGTTCAGAGTAACGGCAAGGACGAGCCTGGTTGCAACGTTGCTGTTTGTGAATCGTATTACCGGCTCTGTCCACTGGACATAGAGCACAATATGCAGCCTGTGGATCTCAAATAGCTTCTCTTACTTTTCAGTTCCCCTTTCATTCTTTTTCTTTCTCCCCTCTAGCTCTACTACCGCCATGGCTGGCTATCGCCCACAGAAAGAGAGAGAAAGAGAGAGAGAGAGAGAGAGAGAGAGAGAGAGAGAGAGAGAGAGAGAGAGAGAGAGAGAGAGAGAAAGAGAGAGAGAGAGAAAGAGAGAGTACAGGAAAATCTGTCACGGTGACACCTCTGATAAGGCAACAACCTGTGCTAGAGGACAAACACAATCAGGACTAATGGATGTTATTTCCAGTCAAATGTCCCTGGATAAGAGGGCCACCTTCACACAGGGACCACATTTGTAACGTCCCTTAGTAGCTGCATCTGCGCCTTAATCCATGGGGTGGTGGCGTTCCTACGGATGAGGAAAACTCGGCTTCTTTTTTTATGTGGGTCACCTAAGACAGGTTTCAGTGTACAAAATCAGTGGCACTGGATGGCACTCACATACCTGTAGATAATGCCGAGACCATGTAGGTACTCCAAAGCCAGTATCAACTCGCCGATGTAGAATCTTGCTCTGCCCTCGTTGAAGAACCTGCTCTGTTTCTGCACACCAATAAATACAAAGCAGTGCGAAAGATGGGTTTGAAAGAGTGAAAGGCGAAAAGCAATTTTCATCTGTACCGCAGCAGACTTGAGAGCCTCTCGCAACTCAGTAGCTCAGCTCTGGTGTTGTTACATACTTACCAGTACCAAGGGACAGAAAGGCAAGTTTGCATCTCAGCACAAACTGAGGAATTTACCGACGAACAAGACGACCACCTCAACAAGATATTTCCTATTACGTCGTGTACAAACATATGGTACACATTACTTATGACAAGGACAATAAGTAAGAGCCAGCATGGCTCAACTGAGCACACAATGGGCACCTCAGAACTTCAACAAGCCGTGACGATCAACGAACCAAACCCGAACACACACACACACACACGCGCGCGCGCACGCACGCACACACACACACACACACACTAAACCGCTTTCACCCCCTCACCAAAAATGGTGACAGACAACAGCACGGCAGCAAAGGCACAACCGAGAACAAACTGAGCAGCTCAACACCTTACCAAATGGTGGTCTAGAACTCCGCCCGGCACAAAGTCAAATACGTAGAGTAGTTCCCGCTGCGTCTGGAATGAAAACTGCGGAGCACATTCACACAACAAACCAGCACAGAGCGGCGGATGGGGGTTAAAGAAACCAGAAAGGTGTGTAATGTGTACCCGACATTTCGCGGCATGTACGGGAGGGATAAATACTACCTCTATTACAGTCCACCTTGCGAGTAACGACCCTCGATCATGTCCTTACCAGAATTGTCGTTATTCACTAGTTGTCGGTATTCATGAAGTTGAAAGTATGCCGTCAAATAGTCACTAGGCCTGGAGATTACGTCGTTATTAACATGATTGACTGCATGTCCGACGACCCAAACAAACTGGGAGGGCGTAAAGATTTGCATTCACATTTTAAACAGTTTATGAACAAATGCAACGTCAGCTCGCTTTTTCTTTTTATTTAATTTCTTTGCTTTTTCTTTAGTTGTTGCGTCAGGCCAGTGATATCATGTTCCGTGATTGCCGGTACAAGAGACTCAGGGCTGTAAACTTCAGCTGGCTGGGCTCCATCACACACACCAAAGGCAACACTAGGACACCAGGTAGAATAGGATGAACATTTCGTTGTGACTCAGAGTTTCACTACACAATCACCAGACCACAATTAGGGCTGATTCAGGTAGCATTTTCTTCGGGTATCGGGTAGTTTTCCACGGGTAACACGGGTACCCTATCGGGTAATGTCTCCATGGTAACACCATAATGCACCCCTTCCCTTACACGCTGAGTAGACATGCGGAGTATAACATGATTTGTACACGTGCACTGTACATGATGTCATCTGCCACTTCGGGTTTTTCGGGTACTATTCTGTACCCCTCCACCCGAGGTCCTCACGGGTAATGCGGGCACCCGACTACCCCGTGAGGATACTAACAACGATAACAAGAAAGCTGGATACTGGTTTATAAAGATTATACCCACAAAGCGACACTAGACATGTACACACACTCTACTGGAGGTAACATGTTGCTGACTCATACCTGCAGTGTGATGAGGAAAGGATGGGATATTCTCCTGCACGGGGAAACACCAAACACACGGATATGTGTGCATGTACCGTCAGACAAACACGCACATACATACACACCAGGGCCGGAGGCAGCTTCCGCGGAGTGGTGCGGCCGAAGGGCCATCTTTAAGGGGGGTGTGGGGGTCCTCCCCCAGAAAAATTTTGGAATTTAGACGGCAAATCCTGCACTCTGGGCGACTCCCTGTACAAAATCATACATCGAAACTTTTTCTGCCCGGTTTTGGACGTTGTGTAGACCGATTTTTGGGACGTTTTTTTTTTTTTTTTTTTTTTTTTTTTTTTTTTTTTTTTTTTTGGTACGGCCATGGCCGTACCGGCCGTACCAGTGGCGCCGGCCCTGCACACACAGACACAGACACGCACATACCCACGCACATGCAATAGAGCCGGGAGCTAACACACACACACACACACACACACACACACGCACACAAATTCAGCATACGCGGAAGTGGCGTTCCCAACTACGATGCCATCTCACCGACAACGTTGCAGCAAATACGAAATACTAGTAAGTAGCAGGCAAGTAGCAGACGACCTTGTTCGGGGCATACTGTAAGACCAGATATTTTAACGTCAATTAAAGTTAACAATCTCTGGATTTTTGTGGGTTAGCGATGTGAAATTCTAACGAATTCTGTCTCAAAACCGACAAATAACTGTACACGTACATATCGTTTTGCACATAACGGCTTCAAATGTAAGCGATTTTTAAAATTTGTCAAATCGTTTGAAATAAATGTTCGTTAACATGATAACATTACTGGTTATACAGTATGCACGTCCATACCTGAGTATTTGCGCTTCCGCCAGCAGGCGTTCTTCTTCCTTGCCGCTCTTCAGCATCGCCTTGGAGACGGCCTTGAGCGCGTAGACCACGTGCGTGTCTCGATGCTGAACTTGAAGCACCTGGGCATGCAGTAAAAGAGAATTAAAAAACACACACACATCTCTCAACACATCACAGTGTTCATACATACCATCAACCTTGCCAATAACGACCCTCGATGGGCCAGGGGAGCAGTGCTGTTATCCGCCAGTTGTCGGTATTCATAAGGTTAAAAGTGTGCAGTCAATTGGTTACTCGGTCTGAAGATAGTGTTGTTATGCGCGAGTGGATGAGATCTAGTGAATAACGCTTTGTTATTAAAATCGGCTCACAGCATCAGAGTCGCACTGTTCTAGCTTTTCATATACCATCGTGGACATGGAAATCCGGTTGCACGTCTAGCGGCCCCGGGACGCTGGCCGTGCAGCCGTGGGTAAGCGGTACACACATGCATTTATGCGCTGCATGCAGCGCGCTGGTCGCGTCGGATCAACGAGTGCACTGCACGCAGCGTTCTGTACGCGCTGAGGGCGCCGGCCCCGGTCAATCGACTGGATTTCCATGTCCGCTACAGTAAATTAATCCTTGGCTCTCCACGGAGTCTACATGTAATTAGTTTGTATTTATTTGTATTTGTTGTATAGGGCCCTGAATAGGGTCGGTGGGTTTGTGTTCTATCATCCAACCCACATGTGTCGCTTCTAGCATCCATTGCTCCATTCCAAACGGGATGTTCCATGTAGCCTGGTTTCGCGTAGGTACGAAACCTGCCAGCCCAACTATGGCATATGTTTTGATAGACGTCCGAGAAGGAATGCGTGTACATGATCCGTGCAGATCTCCATATCATCCACAGTGCTGCTCAATGAAATCCAGTCGCGTCACTCAAGTGCGCGCCGGGCGTTGCGCAGCGGCCCTAGACCTGCGAACACTGGGCTGCTAAATGGTGCAAGGCGCACACTTCAGTGATGCGACTGGATTTCATTGAGTAGTGTAAACGAGTTATCCCGAGATACGGGCAGTGCCCGGTCCCAAGGTGCCCGGATAAGAGACGTCCGAGTGTACTGTGCAATCTCATGCTAGTAGATTTGTCTGTCAGCAGCAGCCCATACCTTGCTGAATCCTCCCTTTCCTATGCACTTGAGCAGTTTGAAGTCTTTGAGGGTTGGCACAGGGACGCTAACTGCGGACGATTGCCTGCTCACCACACTACTTGAAGACGTGTTCAGGTGCCCGCTGCCCGCTCCCTTCATGCCCTTCTTGCCCGCACCACCACCGCCGCTGCTGCCAGCGGACACCTGCGGAGGTTGGTAGCTTCCCACCGAGTCGTGACGCCGGGCTTGCTGGCCTCCTCGTCCGTCGCTGGTGTCCTGCAGGGCAGCGTACGCGCCGCTCTGGTCGTGCGCCGCTCCGCAGCAGCAGCAGAACAAGCCGCTCCTGCGGCGTCGCGATCGACTGCCCTCAAAGGACGACATCCCGGACTGCTCACAAAATTAATGATTGTCCCTTCGATGCTGTAACACTTTTAAAAGCAGCTACCTGAGAGCGAAATCGGGCTCGTGTTGCCTTTTTATATCCATCGTGGGGACATGCCGCGTTCTCCAAGCGGCTATTAGTATCTGACTAGCGAGTTGCACTGCAATCGGCGAAGAAATCAAGCTAGATTATTTTGCTGGATTGTTGGGATTGTGCGCACAATTCATTCTTTCCAAATACTGACTGTAGATGATTGTTTCCATTTATCACGATTCACATAGGAGTCAGAAGTCACATGCATGGCCTGCTGCAAAGAGGTATAACTAGAAAAGTAGAAGTGGAGCTGGTGACCGCGAGGGTAGATACACTGCATGACATGACTGTAGATCTACTGGCTGTTTGACTGAAGTGAAGTGAAGGCATCTGGTGCCCAGACACGTCGCACGTAGATCAACGCGCTCAGTCGGACCTGAGCCTGAGGCTGAGCCTGAGGTCGAGGTCGGATCGAGCGTCGATTTTTTGAGCACTTGTGACTTGTTTGCGCAAGACAGTTTTTTCCTTTCTATCATGCGTCTCGGCTGTTACTCCTGCTTTGGAGTCTCACTTCATCTGTCACTTGTCTTTGCACGTCATCATCTCCTGTTGGCAGTGTTGGCACTGCAGATCTAGACTATAGAGCAGAATCATGACTTTAATCTCGTTATGAATATGATGGTCCCATCCGGCTCCAGCTCAGCTCAGCTGATCTGAGTTCGTAGATGATCGATGAAGGGAGTGAACCACTTCTCACCACTTCCTGCTCTGCTCCGGCCCGGGGTCACAGAGTCCCGAATCCACCCTTCTTTGACTTTGTAATAATCCTAGCGCGCCTCTCCACAGGAATACTACATAGAATGATGGTTCTCAGAGGCAGTCTGGCCACTTCGCTCACTCACAGTCACCTCCAGACTCGCATACATGATGTACAGTCATGATCTGATATCAGTTGTGTACAAAAAACCTTGTGGATAAAGAAATCAAGCACAAGGAAGTGCCTGATACCGCCAATACAAGTATGCTGTCAAAATCGAAAAACAAGTGTCAGACTAGTAATAATACTAATAGTTTGTACGCTGCTAGCTAGCTAGCATTCGCCAAGGCCACGTAGATCTACGTACCGCCTTCCAGGCTTCCACCCTTCCGTTTCGGTGACTGTTCATCGCCGGACAGGTGCACGGCGCACTGTTGCCAGAACAACTCGTCATTGCTGACGTCAGGAAAATCCCTGTGCCACGTGCATGTCAATGATGTCATGCTTCGCGCGGTCTACGACGGATTGGTTTGAAAAACCTTCGGCGGAGACACAGACAAAAATGTTAGTTCGTGCAGAACAAAAAAGAAATTCCACCCTTCTTTCTTCGTTTCCAGACGATTTCCAGACCGTCTTTAGCAAGAGAAACTGACCAGGCCAGGCCCACTCACTGTAGTGAATAATAATATAGCAACAAAATGTCGCGGCCTGCAGCGAGACGAGGACGGCCGTTCGGAGGAGCTGCGGCATCAGGCGGCTCCAAAACTGCCAATCAGCTCGCAACCCTGCTGAAACAGGCCAGGCAAAGTGGACAGCTGAATCTATCCAATCGCGACTGGGACACGGTGCCCGATGCAGTGTGGCGCATCAATGTGGACGTTCCCGAGGAGGCGCGCGACGTCAGTTTGGATCGAAGCGAGGAGACGTGGTGGGCGCAGAACGACCTCACCAAGTTGTTTCTGTCATCGAACAAGCTGAAAGAGATCAGTGAAGACATCTCCATGCTAGGTGCACTTACAATATTGGATGTAAGTACAGTCGACTCCTGATATAACGAACACAATTGTGCAGGAGGATATGGACGAAGTTCGTTATAGGTTATAACAGAAATGCACTTTAAATGTAGGTTTGCAGTAGGGCAAACCGCAGTTATCGCCGTGGACCGAGCAAGCTGGCCACGCGGCCGAGGCGGCGCAGCAACCTGCGGGGCTGGCTTCCTCTTTCAGCATGGGGCGATCGCACGCGAGACCAAGGAGGTTGAGGGCAGTGCACTCTTATCTCCTGCTTGTTGGCACAGCAGCAACTCTTTGCCCTTGCGCCCTTTGAGGCTTTTTTCTTTTCTTTTCTTGAGCAGCAATTACCTCGTGATATGCACATTTGCCGATGATGTCTATCCGCCTGTCACACGGTTGTGGCAGGCGTTCAAATACAAGCGCCCAACCCCAAACAGTATTGTGCCTGGATATGTGTGTTGCTCCGGAGATGGGCGATAGCTTCACAGTTATCTGGCGCTAGTCTTCAGCAGTTCCATTCAGAATCGCTGCTATAAGAGATTTGCATGCTTCTCTTGCGACGTACGTATACATGGTGCCAGGTGCGTGTGTGTGTGTGTGCGCGCGTGTGTGTGTGCGTGTGTGTGTGTGCGTGCGTGTCCGTGTGCTCGCTTACCCGTGTGTAACGACTTGCCCCGCCCCAGGCGCATGACAACCAGCTGACGTCACTACCCAACGCACTGGGTGATCTGGAGCGGCTCAGTCGACTCACTCTCAGGTACTAGTACATGCCAGAGCATAGATTTGTTGATCGCAGGCCACCCAAAGGCACAACAACAGACCAAAAAATCTTTCTCGTAACTCGGAGTTTTGTGTTCATAAACACTCATGAGATTTTTGGTCTCTGTTGTTCTGCCTTTGTGTAGTACGCTCAGCCCATTTTGAGGTGTTGAGCACTATTTGCAGCAAGGACCCCAGCCACTTTGTCTATATTGCTCACAGGCAACCCAGGTAAATTTCGGTAATTTCGGTAGAGAAACCAGGCACCTCAAATTTAGATTAGGCCACCCTTTGTTAATTCATTGTTTACCGTCCTTTTTTTCGCGAAAAGGTACGCGGGAGGGCGAAAAAAAACAAAAGCCCATTCCAAAAACTGGAAACCCAAATCAAACATTTTGACCAGTAAAGCATGTGATATTATAATATATCACATGCTTTACTGGTCAAAATGTTTGATTGGGGTTTCCAGTTTTTGGAATGGGCTTTTGTTTTTTATACAATATTTCTGGGTCTAACGGCACTTGCAGGCATAGAACAACACTCTTTGATGGTACATTGGAGCACATGCCTGATGAATCCAACAAAACAGGTACATAGCATGGAGTTAGCATGTCATGAATTCATTACATCTGGATTTTTACTAGGACACACACCGTACGATATTTAAAAGCCAACAAAAAAAGAAAAAGAACACAAGACAAAGGCATGCCCGGGAGGCAAGATTATAAGTTTAAGGTCATGATCGGCACACTGTGAAACTACACAATCATGTATTTACAACTTCGCATATTATTGGTACTACTACTTTCTTGTTTTTTTCCGGTCGGAGGCAAAAAGGCGCGGACGTTAAACAACGAAAAAAGAAATGGTGGCCTTACACCAAAATTGCACTGGAGTATGCACGGTATGTGCAGGGAACGCTGGCCACCTAATTCTACATTCTACCTGAAACCTGGCAGGTCCCTGACACCGAAATTATACTACACCTGAAATTACAAGTTATACAGTATGTGTAACTGGTGCACAAGGGCACTGGTAGCTGTGTTTATGGAATACCGTTTTCCTCAACATTCTCTACAATTTCGATTCGCACTTTTCAGCTTTCTCGTTCTTATCGTGAGCTAAGTAGTATGTGTGTGTGTGTGTGTGTGTGCGTGCGCATGTTTCTACACATGTGCATTTTACACATGCGTGCCGTGCTCGCATGCGTGTGTCGTGTTCGTGTACAAATACATCGTGACGGGCGTGCGTGTTTGCAGTGACAACCGTCTGTCAAAGCTCCCCGCCGCTGTGTGTCGCCTGGCAAAGATGCAATTCCTGGCCATCGACAGCAACCAGCTCACCGAGCTACCCTTGGAGATCAACCTCATGCAGTCCTTGACCGTCCTGGTAGGTGGTAAGCGAGAGTACATACCCTCCTCCCCTCACCTCTTTCTGTACCTGCCAAATTTCAGTGGGCATCTCGCTGTTGCCCTCCCTTGTTATTGTATACACATCATGAAGTTACTGGTTGTTGTCGTCGTCGTCGTTGTTTGAAGTCTTTATTCTGGCGTTGTTGTTGTTGGTGCTGGTGGTTGTGCTGGTGCTGCTTCTGTTGGCTTCGTCGTTGTTGTTGTTCTTTTCCTAATTTGAATTCGCAAACGAAGTGCGCAAATCGGGCCCCTGACAAAGGAGCTAATGGCGAGTACTGTAAAGTGAGAAACTTTCGCTAGAGATTAAATTTCGCTATTTTCGCGACCATCGCACATTCGCGAATATAAATCGCCGCAAACTGCTCTGTGTATTGCTTATAGACTACAAGATCCAGCTGAAGAGGTTTAATCGCAAAAGTTTCTCATAGTGAACCAGCGCAATTCTTGGAAACACAAAAAATGTGCGCGCCGCGGAATTTTGTCGCTTTACAGTATTGCATCACTGTGCAGTTCTTCAGGTCATTAGTGAGCTCAGCATGGCAAGCACCTGGTTTGGGAGTTAGCATGTCGAAGTTTCACAGTGCATTGTTTTTCACTCTTCTTTGTTTTGTTTTCATTCCCAGAAATTGCAGAAGAACAAGCTTGAGCGTCTGCCCGATGGTGTCTGTCAGCTACGTCAGCTGCAGAGTCTCACCGTGAACAACAACTCTTTGACAGAGTTACCGGCTGGACTGGGACTAATGACATGTAAGGTGATCGTGAATTACAGTAGCTGCGTGGCTGAACAGGATCATTGAGACATTGCTGCCAATGCTGCTCTTGACGCTCTCGCTGCTAGTCTACTTGTTTTATTCAAAGCCCCACATTTAAAGTGAATAATAGCAAGAAGAAGGTACAAGAGAAGAGCTAGAGAGAAAAGGGAAACCAAGGAGGAGTCCAGGTAGAAAAGGAATTGTAAAGATTAGAACATTGAAAGGATGATTTAAGGATCGGTCACGCAATACATACAAGGCTCTTGATGCTACTGCCATTTCTGCAACTGTTGTTGCTGCTACTGGGACTAATGTAGTAATGATATGTACGGTGGTTGTTACTCACAGTACTGAGTAGCTGCAATGGCTGAACAGGGTCATTGAGACATTGCTGCCAATGCTGCTCTTGATGCTGCCAATGCTGCTTCTGTTGTTGTTGCTGCTGGTACTGTTGCCGTTGCTGATGTTGTTGCTGCCGGTGCCGCAGTTGCCTTTGCTGTTGCTGCTGTTGGAGTACCTGCTGCTGTTGTCATACCTGCTGCTGTTGTTGCTGATGTTGCTGCGGCTGAACAGGGTCATTGATACGTTGCAGTGAAACCTGTCTAAGGCGACCACTCCAGGGACCATCCGAATGTGGTCCCCGTGAGCAGGTGGTCTCCCTATCCAGGGTCAACTGGCTGGAGATAACACCCTTGGAAGCTAGTTCTAGTGGTCCTCCGGGACAGGTGGTCGCCTTATCAGAGTGGTCGCTGCCTTGACAGGTTTTACTGTACTGCCAATGCTGGTGTTGATGTTCGGTGATTGTGTATAGCATTGCTGAACACGGTCATTGACATATTGATGCCAATGCTGGTGTTGATGTTTGGTGATTGTGTATAGCATTGCTGAGCACGGTCATTGACATATTGATGCCAATGCTGGTGTTGATGTTCGGTGATTGTGTATAGCATTGCTGAACACGGTCATTGACATTGATGCCAATGCTGGTGTTGATGTTTGGTGATTGTGTATAGCATTGCTGAACACGGTCATTGACATACTGTACTGCCAATGCTGGTGTTGATGTTCGGTGATTGTGTATAGCATTGCTGAGCACGGTCATTGACATACTGTACTGCCAATGCTGGTGTTGATGTTTTGCTGTTGCCAATGCTGTTGTTGCCAATGCTGTTGTTGCCTTTGCTGCTGTTGCTTCTGCTGCTGCTGCTGCTGCCTTTGCTACTGCTGCTCTTGTTGCTGCAGTTGTCTTTGCTGCTTCTGTTGCCTTTGCTACTGCTGTTGCTACCGTTCCTGCTGCTGCTATTGTCATTGCTGTTGCTGTGGAGGCAGCTGCTGTTGTCATTGCTGTGGCTGCTGCTGCTGTTCTACAACGTGTGGTAATCCACTGGTTTACGGGAGTACATTGTCTTTGTCTTTGCTGTGAACCTCTCTATATACATGTGTATGCACGCAGCACTGAAGGAGCTCATCGCGCATAGCAATCGCATCACTACTGTACCTAACTGTAAGTCGACGCTGTTTTAAAAGTTAGCATACTCAGATCCAATACACAGATCCCATACACAGATCCAATACACAGATCCCATACACAGATCCAATACACAGACCCAAATCACAGACCCAGCACACAGACCCAGCACACAGACCCAGCACACAGACCCAGCACACAGAGCAAACACACAGAGCCATGGTACAGTGGGTCCATTGTTGTTAGGCTTTATGCCTGTTTTGATTTCCACTATAAATAAAGAGTACAACAACAAATCACAGACCCGTGATACAGACCCACGCCAGTCACACCGACCCGCGATACAGACCCACGACACAAAGCCAGGACACCCATCCAGGGCACAGACCCACGACACAAAGCCAGGACACCCATCCAGGGCACAGACCCACGACACAAAGCCAGGGCACCCATCCAGGGCACAGACCTGGGACACAAAGCCAGGACACCAGTCCAGGGCACAGACCCGGGACACAAAGCCAGTACACCAAGCCAGGGCACAGGCCCGGGACACAAAGCCAGTACACCAAGCCAGGGCACAGACCCGGGACACAAAGCCAGTACACCAAGCCAGGGCACAGACCCGGGACACAAAGCCAGTACACCAAGCCAGGGCACAGACCCGGGACATAGAAGGCTCTGCACGAAACAGACAGGTTACATGTTTTTTTTCTCTCTACAAGATCCACGTATCTCCAGACACTGGGGTGAATAATGGAGTGTGATATGTGGCGTCAAGAGTACATAACCCCCCAGAGTGTGCAACGCCGATCCAGCTCTGTGTAGGGTCTTGGTCGAGCGGAATCGGATCTTCTGATGTCATGCGTACACTTCACATCAGCGCAAGGCCGGTCTCGAGGCAGGGCACCATTGTTTTTGATCCAAGAGTACCCGCGACTCCCCGGGTTCCCCTCAGATGTGTACGGTATTATGACGCAAAGACCCGATTCCGCTCGACCAAGACCCTATGCAGAGCTGGATCAGGCGTTGCACACTCTGGGGGGTTATGTACTCTTGGTGGCGTGCATTCACCTACTCATCTCCTACCACTCGCTTGGAGGGTGCCAGGAGAGCAAATGATTTCTCTTTAGAATGTTCCTTATCTGAAGAACGCGACGGAGAAGCGCTAGCTCGAATGTTGCAAGTAACCAGCTTCCCACGGCTGTTCGCGCACGGACATCTAACAATATGGAGTCGTTCGGTGCGATTTACGTAACGCGGTACAAACCTCATGAATACGATGGGAGTTTGCGTTTTGGGATGAAACTCATGTCACTCTCCGTGTGGTTCCACGATTTCGCAAGTCAAACCAGGATTTATTATTTGAAAGCGCTCGAGCGAGATACTCAATATCCAGACAATTTGAGAGAGAAGGAAGGTAAAAGGAACTCCTGCCGTGGTCAACCAGCATCCTGACCTTTTCGAACCTCTCCAAGCTGTCCCTGGTAGTCTGGATATTGACGCACGCACTGATTTTCAGCTTCTCCTCGCCGGGATCACGGGTGCAACTTTCAAATTTGCCGATATGTACTCGAACAAACGCACAATTGGATCTACATCACAATTGCGGGGCTATCTGTGTGCTTGCTGCCTTTTCAGCAATGTGGAAACTGGAAACTGCCCAACGGCCTCCTGGACTCAACAGCGACTCCAGCGCCATGCCATCTGTCCCCTAAATCGCATGAAAGGTAGCTCAGCATCGAACGCACGGGACTTGAAGTTTGTGCACGGGACGTGATAAAACTTGGTGAAGATAGCCAGAAGATAGTCCTCTACCTGGGAAAACTGAAAGCTAGACTGGGAAAACTCCTGAAAGGGCTTCTTGACGCAGGTATGTCAACGATGAATCAAGGAACGAGCGAGAAAGAAGGCTTGACTTGTGCAACGCGGAACAAACTGTTCCTGAGACGAAGTTGGCCATGTGAGGTACCAGCGGAAAGCTAGTTTCAAGAGGAACACGGAATACCTGTTTTCCGGGTAAACCTGGCCTGGTAGCTTTCTAAATCGAGCGCAAACCACAGCGAAATCGGCTGCTGAGAATTTGAAAATTCAAATTTCCTTGCCGATCTAGCCCAATCGAGACTTTTGGCTGCCATCTTGTTAAATGTCCAAATTTCGCGAAAAAAAAACAGCCGTGTTCCATACGGAATGTAAGATTGCCTTAAATGCCATAAAGCTCCATTTATTTTATTTTATTTTTTTATACGAAAGTCCACTATATCCCCGAATATGTGCGAGGTGTGGTGGCGGGGCCAGGCTGCTCTGCCGACCTCGAGGGTCTCGGCGTCTACGCAGACAAAGCGCGCCATAATCTAAGCGAACTGTGATTTCTGAACATGGTTATTGTGTCACCTCCCACCACTTTAGGAGCTGCATTTGCGCCTTGATCCTTGAAGGGTGGTGGCGTTCCTACAGATGCGGAAAACTCGTCCTCTAGCAGAGTCTGACGCGAACCGTGAAATTTTTAATTTTTTCGTTATTGTGGATGCGGAAAAGCCGGGAAAACCCAGTCTAGCTGAGTCACGCGTAGCATTAGATCTTTTTATTGCGGTATGTTCCATATTAAAGCTGTCAGATTACTGTCGTTCTGAATGCTGCCTCTTGTCTGCTGTAGTGGAGGGCTGTGCGTCGCTGGCCCGTCTGGAGCTGCATCGCAACCGACTGCAGACACTGCCCACCGTGAACACAGGGCTCAAGGTGAGCAAATTGTGTGGGTTGTTCAATGTGCAGTGCTGCTCAATGGAATCTAGTCACGTCACTCCTGTACGCGCCTTGCACCATCTCACAGCCTAGTGTTCGCTGGTCTAGGACTGCGCAACGCCCTGCGTGTATTTGAGTGACGCGACTGGATTTCATTGAGCAGTTTTGTACAAGTAGCATCAGCAGCGTTACTGGGTTGTTGTTATATATTCTTTGCTTTGGGGTTCGATCTTGCTTGATGGGTATGATCTGTGTCAACGACATCACGTTCAGCAGAAACCAGGCCGGGGTTGGTTTTGTTCCTGTTTGCCATCTTCTGGTGCTGCTGCTTGCAAACACTTGCAGCCCCACAGGTGTTAGGGGCCTGCGACGTGTGTGTGTGTGTGTGTGTGTGTGTGTGTGTGTGTGTGTCCGTCCGTCTGTGTGTGTGTGTGTGCACGCGTGTGTGCATACCATGTGACCGGAAAGAAACACGCACACATGTCAGCGTCGGTGGCAGCAACTTTTTGTCAAGAGGCAGCCTACAGGTGCACAACCAGCTGGACTTGCGCAGGTGGTATACAATCCGAATGTAGCCGTGAGCACTCATGCACATGCACACACACACACACACACACACACACACACACACACACACACACACACACACACACATCCCCGTGCGTATCAGCGGTCAAGGGTCAATGCACTCGGCAAGCGGCTGCCCAGTCAGCCACTCGGTGGCTGTTCGGTTCATAAATCGGCACACAGCTATTAAACTCTCGGTCTGCTCTCACCGTTGCGAAGTATTTTAGGCGCCTAAGCCGTTCTGCTTACGTTCCCGAGACTTATGCAGTTGGTAAAACTTGCCGGTGCTATTGCGCTACCCTTCATGATTTTCAGTACACCCAACTCGCAACACACAAACAGTCCTTGGCTACACCACGTACAGCAAATTGTCCACATTTTCACCCAGGAGGGCATCATCAGGGATATAGGATGACGGCGGTGAGGACCTGTTCAGAGTCGATGCTGCTCCGCATTTTGCTGACAGCCAGCTGCTTGTCGGTATTGTGTAGTGTGTCGTTGGCCACTGGCACAGCGCCGAGTGGAACGACGACGGCAGGGCACTCGGAACACACGGACTGTCTGACGGACATGCTGCGTAAGTCCGGCGTGCGGCCTCGCTGGGTGACGCGCTATGCTGCCCTGTTCCGCGCCAACGGCGTCTCGATCCCCTCGCTGGAGGGGCTCAGCTTCGTCGAACTGCTCCGTCTGTTCTACGGCCCGACATTTAACATGTCTCACGTCGACGACGTCCACAGGCTGCATGTTTGCTTGTCGGCGCGTAGCAGCCGCTGTTCCTACGACCCGTTCTGTCGCCACGGCGGCCGGTGTGTATACAGTGGCGAGTCGCGCTCGCACGTCTGTGAGTGCAGCGATGCTCGCCACCGTGGCCAGCGCTGCCAGCAACGTGACGACCACGGGGGTGGTCGCCAAGGCAACGAAGCGGCGACGACGGTGGGCACGGAAGAGGCACAGTCTGCTCCTGCAGCAGCAGCAACAGCAGTCCCGCTGGTCAACGTCACGGCGGAGATCGTGCGTACGCTACGCGACACCATCGCAGTCACTTACACGCACTGGGGAAAGGAACGATGCGATTCCGCGGCCAACACCACGACTGTGTACTCCGGTTACACGGCCGCCAGTCGACGTACAGAAAACGACGGCGGTATGGGATACATGTGTCTTCCCGACGAGCCCGTCATGTCGCATCATGATCTTGGAGCGAACGTGGGCATCGTGAGTACGGTCGAGATCGAAGACGGCAGCTTTGCTCCTCAAAGAAGTGTTGCCAACCATGATCCAGCGTGCGCTGTGTGCATGACACGTGGCCGCAGCTCTCAGATAATGATCCCGGCTACCAACCGTTGCCCGGCCGACTGGTCACTTCAATACCATGGTTACTTGGCGGGTGTGTCTGTGCTTCTTCAGCTCGTCTCGGAATTAATCTGCATTGATGCTCAGCCCGATGTTATCGATGGCTCACACGCCGACCTCCAAGGGCCGCAGATATACCCAGTCAAGGCCACATGCTCAAAAGATCTTCCCTGCCCGCCGTACCAGGCAGACAAGGCGTTGCTGTGTGTCGTGTGCACACGCTGAGACCGCTGTGCCCTTTGAGGCGAGTCTCCAGTGCTTGCTATCTCTCTCTCTCTCTCTCTCTCTCTCTCTCTCTCTCTCTCTCTCTCTCTCTCTCTCTCTCTCTCTCTCTCTCTCTCTCTCTCTCTCTCTCTCTCTCTCTCTCTCTCTCTCTCTCTCTCTCTCTCTCTCTCTCTCTCTCTCTCTCTCTCTCTCTCTCTCTCTCTCTCTCTCTCTCTCTCTCTCTCTCTCTCTCTCTCTCTCTCTCTCTCTCTCTCTCTCTCTCTCTCTCTCTCTCTCTCTCTCTCTCTCTCTCGCTCGCTCGCTCTTTCCTCGCTTGTCCGCTGACCACTTATGCAGTGGTGAAGCATGTAGCGATTTGTAGTGTAAATTCTCCGAATGCCACGTATCACTTGGATATCTTTGGATCCTGTCTTCATGTTACACAGTCATCTTCAGTTTTTATCACACTGCGGTCCTTAGTTTTTAACTTTTTATCTCACAGCGATTCTGTTAGCATTCATGTTGCAGAGCCATCCTTAGTTGATGATACCACACAGCCATCTTTAGTACTTCGAGGTATTCTTTACTCTCCTGCACTGACGTTTTGCCAGCTTACATCACGTAGACATTGTGGTAGCTAGCACATCTGCCTTGAATTGCACAGTGCGAGCCCTGGTCACTGTTGCCTGCAATTGTACGGGGTGTGTGCTGAAATGCTTCTGGTAGTAGTAGTAGGACTGGCTTTAAAACAGAGAGGTTCCAGGCTGTCAAAGAGAGTGCTCAATACCGAGAGGCAGAGCTAGGTCAAACAATAAGAGGATGGAAAAAGTGTTTTAATTCTGAGTTTCACACACTAAGCGATCATCAGAAAACAGTTAGCAGTAGGTTTTATTGTTTTACTGGGGAACTTCCCTCAGGCCAAGCAGTTTTACTGGGGAACTCCCCTCAGGCCAAGCAGTTTTACGGGGAACCCAAGTGAATATTTGGTATGTGATGTGAATTGAGGGAAATATACAACTTGATGGCATTCGCTTAGAAGTACATTCCACCTGTTTGCAGCCAGGAAAGAAATTGCGTGCATGCCCTTGCGGTGTGGGTTGCACTGTAAACCGTGAATTTTCAGCGGTGTAATATTTTCAGTATTTCCCAAAATCAACGGTTCGGCAGCGCGGAAATTTCGGCACACCAGTTTTCCAGATCCGAAAATGCATTTTGCACACCACGGCATGGTTGAATTTAGGTCTCGATTTTAGGTTAAAACAAAACACCTCTACCGAAGTTACCGAATATAAATCTCCACCGAAGTTTTCCGGTTTAATATAAATCTCCACCAAAGTTTTCCGGTTTTACAGTACATGTGCGTCTGTACCAGTAGGGTTGCATAGCATCCACACTGCGCCATAGCACACGGACTGACGACGTGCGTTTCCGTTTCCGTCCTCGTTGATCTAGGCAACGTGTGCCTGTGATTGCTCCTCCATTGACCTGGTGACCAGATGCCAGTCGGAGACCGGCAGTACCGTAATGCAAGCGTGCGTAGAACATAGCACACACACACACACACACACACACACACACACACACACACACACACACACACACACACACACACACATGCACGCTTGCTCGCGCACCCACACACGCACACACACCCACACGCACGCGCACACACACACACACACACACACACACACACACACACACACACACACACACACACACACACACACACACACACACACTTGTTACTTGTTGCTCACTGCCAAAACTGGTCACGTGGGTCTCCCCGGGAGAGAGGAGAGAGACTCAAAAGGAATCTTGGAAAGATGACTCAATTGGCTATTGAACCGCCCAACGGCCAACACCCCCTGAAATCCCCAAAACTCTGGGTGGACTTGAAAATGATCCCACTTATGGGCTCACCACACCTCAGTAAGTGGGTGAGGACAAGGTGCAGAAAAAGGATTGACGGCATCAGGGTATCCGTCCCGGGATCCAACTGCAGTTACCCCTGCCCCCAGTGAAGGTAATACTTGCTACTAGTGTGGGTGGCTAAATCAGAGTGGATCTGATACAAGCTTCACTAGCACCATTGATTACACAAGAGTTAATCTAGCCAGAAGTAGTCCATGGTTAACAGGTATGTATACTTCAAATAGAAAATATATAAACCCTGAAACCAACAAAGGTGGTAGGTACAACATTACACCTTCAACCAGCCGAGCCCGTTGGCAACAGACCCAACACTATCCGGCATAAGTGTACCCACCAACCGAACTAACTGGCACACACACACACACACACACATGCACGCACGCACACACACACATACGCACGAACGCACACACACACACACACACACACATGCACGCACACCCGCTTGCACACACACACACGCATGTACACACACA